CTAAATATAAGTCTTCCCAAAGAGACAACATGCTGTACTCTAATTATAAAGCTCTAATTATAATAGACCTTCATCTGCATAGAAACTCAGAGCTGGAAGGAAGAGGGTCAGGCTGCTGCTTTGCAAAAGAAACCACTGATTTTTCTGCCTAATAGCCGTGTCACAACTGTCTTCCTTTGGAATGGGAGATAAGACAGAGAAGCATACAGGCGAGTGTGTTCAGTGGTACTTGCTCCTGAGTAAGAGTGTGTAAGACTACAGCCTTAATCTCCTCTCCTTGGAGGAACCAGGAGAACTGCTCCTTCTCAGTGCTCTTGCCAAAATGCAGGCTTTTTGAGGAAGCTGTGCCAGTTAAAAAGGACACAAAACTGGTGTACTTTTTTGGTGCAGACTCCTTAGCAGGGCTGGGCAACTTGCAGCCCTCCAGATATTTGGCCTAAAACTCCCATCAGGCCTAGCCAGCACTGCCAGTGGTGAAGGATGATAGGAGTTGTAGGCCAAAATATCTGGAGGATCACAGATTGCCCAGTTTTAGAGAAAAGAGCATGGTGGAAATTGACAAAAATCTCGGTTTTCAATTTGTGAGGAGGAAACAAAAACTCAGGTTTGTGGGAGAGATGAACCTCTGTTACTTTATTGTCTGGAGCCCCAGTACCTGCAGTAACAAACAATGATGCGTTACTGGGCAGAGGGAAACTCAACTGCAAGATCTCAGCCCATGTGCAGGCACTTTTATAAACTGCTAGTCACATACACCAATACAGAGTGTTAAATTTCTAGATAATCTTAGTACAAGAGCATCCTGATGTCTTTAGGCATGACATAATGTTCTAAAACGATCAGAAATACTGTCACAATAGTATGGAAAACAGTACTGATTGCTGTATTGATAAGTCAGTCTAGCAAATTCTTGACAATTCAGGTCAGCCAGGTTAGCCTGTTTGCACATTTATTTTATTTATTTATTTTATTAAAACATTTCTATGCTGCCCCATTCGCCGAAGCCTCGGGGCGGCTCACAACGTAAAGTAAAATACAAAAATAACAATATAAAAATAACAATACAAAATAAATAACAATATAACACATGCAAACATGTCTGATGGAGGAAGCATGTAGGAAGTCTGGTTTGAGAATTGCACTCAGGCTTGCCTCTGTGAGACTTAGGAGGGCCCGTTCGGAAGCAAATGGGTGCCATTGTTTCAGCTCTGCACAAGTGCTAGCCTCCAGAAGTTTCCCAATCTAGCTAATAATGCCATCTTCTTAAGGCAACAACAGTGACCTGGCTTGGAAAGCTGTGCCATGTGAGAAAGAGGTGCAGATTTGGGTTTATAACGCATAGGCACATATAACATTTTTTCTGCCAGGATTTATCTAAATTTTCCCAACAAGTTGCCCCTGCAAATGACAGGAGGCATCCAAAAGCAGGCAGCCGTATTCAGAGATCTCCCTGACATTGCAGAGACCAGTGTCAGTAGTAGCTAAGTGAAATATCACCCACTGGGAACAGAAGGGAGAAGCAGATATTCCAAGCTGGGTTGTAACCATCAGCATCTCTAACCTTAATTTGGAAAATGGCCCTGGAGCTTGCTGGCCCCATAACTTATGCACAATCTGGTCACTTGCTCTGGCACATGCTGTTCCAAGTGCACTTACATTACATCGTTTGACTTAGTTAGCAAAGAAGTTAATTGAGCTTAATGAGGTTGAGTGCCCTGTGGAAACTTTCTGGAACGAGATGTTCATGAAATCTCCCAATGCAAAAAAAAGCTGTGCTTGCTTTGAAAGGTTGGCATCCTTGCATCTCCTCAGGGTCCCACAGTTGTGCTTGTGACACGCCCTTTGATTCAGGACATAGCAGAGGAGACTTGCACTCATGCTGTTATCTGCTTATTTAATTAATTAATTTTTATACTGCCCAACAGTTGAAGCTCTCTGGGTGTTCCACAAAGTGGTAAGATAGTGCCAGCAGTAAAAGAGCAGCCATTCCTTTGCTGCTCTCCTGTCCTGCTGTGGTGGCTGGAAGAGAGTGGCGAGGTGGAAGAGTGGTGGGAACTGTGTGCTCATTCCACCTTGACAGGCTGCTCTCTTGCTCCCTTCTCAAAGCACCACTGCAGATGTGACTGGCCCTGCATGGTGCCCCATGGTAAGGGGCACACGGCAGCATAGATGGCCAGCCCTGGAAGTGGCCACTTCCCCCATCCACCCATCCATGTGGTTGCTATTGTCTCCATTGACCAAGTGGGCCACTGTTCCTAGAACCTCAGAAGAACTGCAACTTTATTGGCCACTTGGTGAAATTCGCATTTATTTTCAGGCACTTGCTGCTCAGCTGGTTTTAAAATGCTAGCTTTAGGGGTTCAAGCAGTGCTTCACCACTTGCCATTCATTCCTGCTAGGTGTCTTCAATCGCTGCTTTGCATGATTTTCATAAAGTGGACATGAACTGGGTCTCCACTTTTCAAGTCCATTTCTCCCCACTGTCCCATACTGCCAAGAGACTTCAGGGGATTCCAGAGGGAGGACTCTTAGTTCCGCATGTCCCAGAGATGTTAGGCTGCCATGCAGAAAGCCATATTCCATGTTTCCACCAATCTAGCCTATGTGGGTTATGGGATACACCGAAGGGTATCTGAAGACCTCCAAGCATGCGCAGGCTCGTATGGGGAGAGTTATGTCATTGTCATGATCACTCTTTCCTTTCCATTGGAAGAGAAAAATATTCCAGGCATGCAGAGAGTTCTTTTTAAAACTTTATTGCAATGAAGGGAACAGAAAGGAATGGGTTCCTTCCCATTTTTCTGTTCACCTGAGCACATGTTCACACCCCCCTTTTGAACCCTGCTCCCAGCCTCTTGTTCCCTCCTCCTTTCCCCTAATTGGCTAATAGAGGAAAGAGTTTACACTCTTTCCGCCCGCCTACTCTGTGCTGCCCCAACACCGGCCCTTCTTCCCAATCCAGCCCTGCCCCTGGTGGGCTACAATAGGCTCATTTTGCTCTGCCCAGCTTATCAATAAACAATGAGGAAGTATTTGGCCCTCCTGCCTACGTGCCTGTTTCCCCATACCTTGTGCTATCTGATTTTAGCCCCTCCCCTCCTTTGGGCTAAGTAATTTTCTTTGTTACCCTTTTAAATCTCTTTATTCCCTTGTTTCAAATCATCCTTTCACACCTATCATCATGGAGAAGTCATTCTCCCCACTTTGCAACCAATGTCTCCAGAGTGCACCAATGCCTCATTGGACTGTGTGGTTAAAGAAGCCTAAATTTGTCCTCATCTGGCATAGAGATAGGTGGAGGACTATCATAAGCAGATGACCCCGAAACATGGATGCCTGGGGAAGTAAACAAGTGTAGATGATTCTTCTAAAGCTGAGCTGCAGGTCCTCTTTCAGTTGAAGAGCCAGCTTCCATTTTGGAGGAGCTCCCTGTGCTGTATTCTAGCCTTGGGCATGGCTGGTGGCAAGAGGGTGGGGCCAGAAAACAAAGCCCGGGCATCGGAGGGAGGGAGAAGCATGGCTGAAAACATCAGCTTCACCATTCTGCTGCTTGGCAAGTGATTTAGGCAGCCATCCTATTCCTTCACCATGGCTTGCAAGGAGGGGAGAGCAAGTGCCTCCAGGGCACATCCTCTGCTGGTGCAGCCTTACTCCTTTCCTTTCCTCACAACCCACCAGAATGGCCACTGAATGCTGGTCAATCCTTGGTCAGTCTTCTGACCCTGGAGCTGCAGACAGCTTGATTCTGTCCAAGCCAGCTCTGAGGGCAGGGGGAGAGCACTCCAAAGTGGGAGGCCCTGCTCCAGCCCCAAAGCACGCTTCAAAAGCTGGAACTCTAAATTGTCCTGTGTCTACCTGGATTCTGTCTAGCAGCTACAGGATTGTGCCTTAAGCCAAGGCTCTCCAGTGGGTCAGTTCTGCATCTTAAGAGACATAACTGTGTTGATGGGATAGTGAGCATTTGAATTTCCCAGAACTCTGCTATTGCTGCCTGGCAAAGCATAGGCATCAGGTTTACAGAAAAACACCTATTTATGGATAGGATGTTGTTTAATTTAATTTAATTATTTTATTGAGGCGATATTCCTTAAGAAACTGGATTTAACTTAATTTTGCTTCCCAACACTTGCATTATGTTTGATGTACATCAAAGCTCTGCTTCTTCTCTGATTTCTGTTTCCATCTTTATACGAAAGTGTGCTGGTGCAACTGTAGACCTTTGATCAACAGTGAGTTTTCCAGCCATCCTGAAAGGTAGGAATGAATTGCTTTTTCCATTTTTCCTTTTCTATTTTGTTTCATTTATATGGATTTCTTTCTGCTTTTCCACATGACATTCACCACATTCATTTCACAGAAAGAGAGCTGTGGTCAGGGTCATAAAAAGGATAACGGGGGCTTCAGGAATAAAGTGTTCCAAGGAACATATGCCAATTTATGGGGCAGCCTTCTGCAACTGGGCAAGTTCCAGATATATTGGACTGCAATCTCCCCTGGAATCATTGGCTGGAGATGAAGGGAGTTATAATTCAACATTCCTGGAGGTTGCTAGGTTGGGGAAGACTGTTCTTTCAAGTAGCAAGGCAAAGGCACCTTGAGGAGGCATCTAGGATGAGGTCCTGCAGCAGAGACCAAAGACACAAAGTTTCAGCCTCTTTCCCCAACAGAACCTAAATCTCTAAGACACGCATATGAATCTGAGCTACCTCCCAGCCCTGGGCAGCACCCTCAGTGGTATCATCAGAGGACACGGCTACAATTAGCCATGCACAACCACCTTGACAGTCCTCTGAGATGTCTTTTGTCCAAGACAAATCTTGAAGGTAAATAGTTCTTTACTGGGCAAAGTTCTTTCTGCATCCTGGACCCACATGTATGGCCAGATAGTTTCTGCTATAAACTGTTGCAGCAAAGCATTCAGCGAGAGTTTGCCTTGGTAATCTCAGTCTCCCTGTTGTCTCCTCCTCCCCACCTCTCCCCTGTTCAAAAGACAGCTAGTGATGGTGACATCCGCTGACCTCCTGCAGTACGAAAACGACTTCATGGAATACATTGAGAACTATGAAGAAGATGAGTCACCTGTGTCCTATCTCAGCTGGGTCCAGATCATTTCTGTTGTGCTCCACAGTGTGGCCTTCCTCCTTGGCGTGCCTGGCAATGCCATAGTCATCTGGATCATGGGCTTCAAGTTGGACAAGACTGTGACGTCTCTCTGGTTCCTCAACCTGGCAATCGCAGACTTAATCTTTGTCTTTTTCCTGCCTCTCTACATCACATATGTGGTTCTGGGCTTCCACTGGCCCTTTGGGAAATGGCTATGCAAAGCCAACTCCTTCATAGCTTTGCTCAACATGTTTGCCAGCATCTTCTTCCTGACAGCCATCAGCCTTGACCGCTACATCCATCTGATCCACCCAGCCTTCTCCTACAAGCACCGGACTATCAGGAACACCCGTCTCCTGATTCTGACCACTTGGGTTTTGGCGACGCTCCTCGGAAGCCCAGTGCTGTATTTCAGAGACACGCTCGTGCTCCGTGAAAACATCACCATTTGCTATAACAACTTTGACCCAAGCAACATTGACCTCATTGTCCTCAGACACAACGTCTTGACATGGGTCAGGTTCATCTGTGGCTACCTCTTTCCTCTCATAACAATGATCATCTGTTACTCTCTTCTGATCATCCAGGTGAAGAGGAGCACGGCTCTGACCTCCAACAGGCTCTTCCGGACTGTTCTCGCTGTTGTGGTGGCCTTCTTTGTTTGCTGGACTCCCTACCACATATTTAGCATCCTTGAGCTGTCAGCTCACCATAATAGCTCCTTGCACGACTTGCTTCCAGATGCCATTCCTCTTGCGGTTGGCCTTGGATTCATGAACAGCTGCCTCAACCCCATCCTTTATGTCCTTCTCAGCAAGAAGCTGTGGTCCTGCTTCAGCGGGACACTTTCAGAGTTGGTGAAGCACACCTTCTGGGAAGTCAGCCACTCTGGGACAGTCAGTGAACATGTTCTGAATTCCTTGAGCCTCCAGGAGTCGGAAACCCCTGAGGGAGATATTCCTCCCAGGGAAACCTTGGCATGAGTGGCAGCCGCTTTCCAAAGTATCCACCATCCACAGATGTAGTTGCATTTAAAACACTCAGTGGTGAGTGTTTAATAGGATAGCCTTCTCCTAATCTGATGCTTCCCAGATTTGTTGGACTACAACTCCCAGCAACCCCCATGCTGGAAGTTAGAGTCCCACATATCTGGAGAGTTTGCTTTGGTAATCTCAGCCTCCCTGTTGTCTTCTCCTCCCCACCTCTCCCCTGTTCAAAAGACAGCTAGTGATGGTGACATCCACTGACACAATTGGGAGAAGGCTGACACAATTGACTGAACTCATGTTACCAGGGACATGTGGACTATGTGGAATCTGCTCCACCTGCATTTTGAGGATTGCCAAGTGCCTTTCATTCCAGCACCCACTCATTGATACAATTGGATTTTGCACAAAAGCACTTATGCAATTTCACACTTGCAAAAACAGGCAAATCTGCCAAAAAATAAACAGATCCTCCTCAAGTACGCATTTTCATGCTTTATGGGGGAAAATGTGCATTTCCGGTTGGTGGGTTTTTCCATATTGTTCTACAACAGAATTTATAGAGAAAAAGAGAACATTCCATGGGTCTGTGATAGTTATGTGATGTGGGAAACCAAACTTACAACAGTGCTGCCAGGTAGAGGCCAGACCAACTACAAGCTTCCAGAACATGTACAGAGTATTTTATAACCTCCTAGTCACATACAGGTACAGAGCACTTGATGACAAGATAAAGACATTATGATGATGAGAATCTGAGGTCAGCATATACAGAACAATAATGCAAATCAAGAAAACATGTATGTTACAATCAAATGGAAAATATTTCTGATTACAGTGTATTGACATTTCAATTGAGTAAATATCTGAAACTTAAACCAATCTTTGTGTCTGCTTAAACATGTAAATGCGAGCTGTTTGGAAACCATCCATAAGAACATGATCTCAGCTACCACTCCACTGGTGGGAGGGCTTTGCAAATCGCACCCTTCTGATTGGCTGTGACACATCAGCCACATACGTCTTGTCAACCCGATACTTCTTGTGAAAGCTGTGAATTCCTGGGGGGATTATGGGGCAGCATTGGAACAGTGAGATATGCTGTATCACTAGAATGCAATAGAAAACCAGACCTTTCCAGTGTATGTTCACTCCTGGTTAGTTGGATCAAGCGGTGAGGGGCAGGGAAGGGATTCTAGCAGCTTCTGCTTGCCTCCAAAATGGATTCCTGGATTGCTCTTTAACAAAACACACTAGACACCATTATAAATATGATTTATTTGAACCTCTTCTTCAACATGTCCAAAGAATGCTACAATCTCCCTGTGCTATAATCATACATGGGAGGCTGATATAAACATGCCCTTTCCTCTGCCACCAAAGTACGCTATATTTCAATGCTTGGAAATAACCTGATGTGCTAGCTATTGTTTTCTAGCATAATCATATGAACAAGTAAAGCACTTACCCCAGTGCCTCCACCCCTGTGCACATGCTTAGTGCTTGCTGAGGATGCATATGGTTATGTAAATTAAATGGGTAGATTTTGCTGCTTCCGGTGAGGCATGCTATTTATTTATTTATGTATTTAAAACATTTCTATGCCGCCCCCATTGCAACAAAGCCTCGGAGTAGCTCACAACATCCATAAAATAAACATAAAAATAGAATCAGTACTTTAAAAACTGGTACCATCTTGGCTATATATATTAAAATCTATAAATACAATGATAAATTAACAGTTAAAATAACTTTTAAATAAAAAGGTCTTCGCCTGGCACCGAAAAGCAAATAATGATGGCTCCAGGTGGACCTCTCTGGGGAGCGCATTCCATAGGTGGGGCACCACCGCAGAAAAGGCCCTCCTCCGGGTACTCACCCACCTAATATCCTTCACAGAGGGTTCCCAGAGAAGGGCATCCACTGCTGATCGTAGGGGGCGGGCATATATGGATGCAGACGTTCCTTTAAATAACCAAGTCCCAAGCCGTTAAGAGCTTTATAGGTCATAACCACCACCTTAAATTGGGCCTGGACTTCAATGGGGAGCCAGTGAAGTTGACGGAGAACTGGCGTTATATGAGAACAACGCCCAGTCCCCGTCAGCAACCTGGCAGCTCTATTTTGCACCAATTGAAGTATCCAGACTGTCTTCAAGGGTTGCCCCACGTAGAGCGCATTACAGAAATCTAGTCGGGAAGTTACCAACGCGTGGGTCACTGTCGCCAGGCAGTTGTTCTCCAGATAGGGACACAGCTGATGGTTCAGCCGAAGCTGAAGGAAGGCGCTCCTCGCCACCGCCATCACCTGAACTTCTAACGACAGCTCAGGGTCGAGGAGCACTCCCAAGCTGTGAACCCTGTCCCTCAGAGGGAGTGCAACCCCATTTAGGACAAGGCCCAAGTCCCCCATCCCGAAGCCCGAACCACCCACCAACAGGACCTCCATCTTGTCTGGATTGAGCTTCAGTTTATTGGCCCTCACCCAGCCCATTACCTTGGCCAGGCACCGGTTCAGTACAGCCACTGCCTCACCTGGATTGGTGGAGAATGAGAGGTAGAGCTGGGTATCATCAGCGTACTGATGACTCTGCAGCCCACACCTCCTGATGACCTCTCCCAGCGGTTTCATGTAGATGTTAAATAGCAAGGGGGACAAAATGGACCCCTGCGGAACTCCATGGCATAACTGCCATAACACAGAGCCATAGACCCCCGGCACCACCTTCTGGAATCGGCCATTGAGATAGGAGTGGAACCACCGCAAAGCAGTGCCTCCAACTCTCAATCCCGCTAGCCTATCCAGAAGGAAACTATGGTCGATGGTATCGAAAGCCACTGAGAGGTCCAGGAGAACCAACAAGGACGCACTCCCCCTGTCTCTCTCCCTGCACAGGTCATCGTACAGGGCGACCAAGGCAGATTCAGTACCGTACCTGGGGCTGAAGCCGGACTGAAATGGGTCCAGATAATCAGTTTCATCCAAGAGTGCCTGGAGTTGTCCCGCCACCACCCGCTCTATAGCATCTTGCCCAGGAACAGAATGTTGGCCACTGGTCTATAATTGGCTACCACCTCTGGATCCAGGGATGCCTTCTTCAGGACTGGCTGGACTACTGCCTCCTTTAAAGGGGCAGGTACCCGGCCATCTCTGAAAGAGGCGTTGACCACCTCCAGGATCCAGGTCACAATCCCGTTCTTGGCATTCTTGAGTAGCCAAGATGGGCAAGGATCTAGTAAGCAGGTGGTAGGACATACTTGTCCAAGCACCTTGTCCACATCATCAGGCCGCAACAACTGAAATTCATCCATCAATTGAGGACTTGATGGCGTCATTGGCACCTCCCCAATAGAATCTGATTCAATAGTAGAGTCCAGCTTGTGACGAATCAGCGATTTTCTCCCTAAAATGCTTGGCGAAGTCGTCACAGCGGGCCTTCGAGGGTGGCACCAGATCTTTCTTTGGGCCTGGATTTACCAGCCCCTGCACCACCTGAAAGAGCTCTGCCAGACAGCATTGTGAGGAGGCAATGGAAGCGGAGAAGAATTTCTTCTTCACCGCCCTCACCACCACAGCATAGGCCCGATAGTGGGCTCTTAAGTGTGTTTGGTCAGATTCATCCCGTGATCTCCTCCACCTACACTCTAGACGTCTCCCAACCTGCTTCATCGCCCATAATTCAGGTGTGTACCAAGGAGATGGACAGGGTCTGCCAGGTGGGACAGGACGCTTAGGAGCGATCATGTCAATAGCCCTGGTCATCTCCCCATTCCATAGTTCAACCAAGGCATTGACAGGAGCACCAGCCTTATCAACTGGAAAATCCCCCAGACCCTTCAGGAATCCATCAGGATCCATCCAACTCCGGGGGCGGACCAGCACAATCGGGTCCGCACCCTTACAGAGGGAAAGGCCATTCTCAAGCTCAAACCTCACGAGGAAGTGATCTGACCATGACAAGGGTGTCAAACATAAGTTGTTCACCCTCAGATCACCCTCTTCCTGCCCCATCAAGAAAACCAGGTTCAGAGTGTCTCCATGGGTTGGGCCACTGACGTGTTGAGACAGCCCCATGGCCATCATGGAGGCCATGAAGTCCTGAGCTGACCTGGTCAGAACCATCTCGGCATGGAGGTTAAAGTTCCCCAGGACCAACATCCTGGGAGTCATCAACACCAGGTCCAAGACGATCTTTGTCAGCTCAGGCAGGGAGTCTGTTGGGCAGAAGGGTGCACGGTACACCAACAGAATCCCCAGTCTGTTTCGGTCTCCCAACACCAAGTGGAGGCACTCCAGCCCTGGCCTCGAGAGAACATGAAGCCCCGAGAGAGAAATAGAAGCTCGATAAACCAGAGCAATCCCCCCTCCCCTCCCCTCCAGGCGTGGACGGTGCTGGACCAGATACGTGGGCGGGCACAGCTGTGAGAGGGTGACATCTCCCCCATCCCCCGCCCAGGTCTCTGTGATACAGGCCAGGTCAGCCCTTTCATCCACGATCAAATCGTGGATGAGCATTGCTTTATTTTGGACTGACCGGGCATTAAGCAACAACACCATCAGGCCTGGGGGGCGGTTGACAGGGCTACCTGGAACCCTCCGGCTGGGGGAATAACCAGAAGGAGGAACAGGTGTTAACCATCTGTCCCTCCTTCTTCTATGCGGACCCATTAAACCCCCAATGCCACAACGTCCATTGCCCATAACCACCCCAATAGTGGCACTCATGCACTCCCCAGGTAACAACATACTATACTGTAGCACGAGGTGAACCCCTAAAAACAACTAAAACAATTAAAACAGTTAAAACAGTTAAAAGCGCACCCACCTTAATCTCCCGCCAGCCAACAACCAGACAGCCCAGCCCAGACTAGAGCCCCTGGCCAGCCCAGCCCCCGCTCAGCCCCGAACGGTCCCTAACGACGTCACCGCCCTTCAGCTGCCGGCCCTTTGGCCGCCGGCCCCGGGTGCCACCAGCGCTTTGAAGGCCACCGGGCTGCTCCCCCCATGCCCTGCCCGTCCCGGTGCATCTCCCACTCACACCGAGGT